AATCATGATTATGACACTGTTAACTAAATGATCAAATCAGAAGCAGATAATAATCTGATAGTAAAACAATAATACATTAATGCACTAAACTTTTATAATCTACTTCGTAATAAACTAGTAAGATCAGTATGGCTAAACTTGAATCATAACATGATATGTATTTATAAAAATAATGAGAATTTGCATATAATATGATGCCTCAATATGAAGTGATGAAGTCTCGGCTTGATATAAAACTTGTTAACTAGCAAAAATTTAGAAAGTAGTACAAAATTTTTTGAAATCAAAAACAGATCTAGACTCGAACCGTAATTTAGTAAATCTGAAATAAAACCGATCTAAATAATGTTAAATCATAGAAGAACCAAACCCGTGAACGAACCGAACCAGTTATAACCGAACTAAAATAAAACTACACCAAAAAAGAACCGAACCGTTTCCAACCTGAAACTGTTTGAACCGGTATAATCACCATTTACACCGAACCATTAATAAACCGCAACCCGTTTGCACCAAACCGTTTACTACCGGGACTATTTACAACCCGTACCGTTTACAACCCGAACCGAATTTAAACCGAGTTAAAAACCGTTTACACCAAACCGTTAACAAACCGCAACCCGTCTGCATCGAACCGTTTACAACCCGGACTGTTTACATCCCGGACCATTTACAACCCGAACCAAATTTAAACCGGGTTAAAAACCGTTTACACCAAACCGTTAACAAACCGCAACCCGTCTGCATCGAACCGTTTACTACCCGGACCGTTTACAACCCGAACCGAATTTAAACCGGGTTAAAGACCGTTTACACCGAACCGTTAACAAACCGCAACCCGTTTGCACCGAACCGTTTACAAACCAAACCGTTTAGAACCCGAACCGAATTTAAACCGTTCAAGAATAAACCGAAACCGAACCGAACCGATAATTATTTAAACCGAACCGAAACCGACCCGTTAGACATTTAAACCGATTTCAAACCGACCCGATTTCAAACCGAACCGATTTCAATCCGAACCGAAACCGAACTGTCAAACCGTTTTGACAGTGCTAAATGCAACACATTACTTATAATCGTGAAAGGACGGGAACAAACACTTAACTGTGCGGAGCAATTGTTGTAGGGTAGTTTTTTTTTTTATAGAGAACTAAAACGGGTAAATTGAAAAAATTGTAAATAATAAGAGGTTGTGCTATGTTCATTTGACTCCACTATCCAAGTATGATATGAAAGCCTAATTGAAAGTAGTGAAAGCGCTAGTAACAAGATCATTTATAATGTGGGAACATCCCAAGTAGCAAATAGGTGGAGTTCAATAAGCCAAATTAAGGACTCATTAACAAAGGACGTCAATTTGACATGGATACAAAGATAACTCCAATAATTAATCCCCCTTTTTATAATGTGTATTATGATGCATCAATAAAGTAAGTAGTGGATATGTGAATGTTTACCATATACTCAGTTATGATTATATACTGAAATTTAAAAGATTGTTCTTTTAATTATTATGTATTCAAACTTTACTTCACTTGTTTGTCTAAAGATCAATAAATATCAAATTACATATTTTAGCATAATATAGACAGATCTTTTTTGAGATATAGTTTGAACAATAGTATAAATAATTAAATTTTAATAAGCAACAAATTCTTCATAGAATTCTCTCAATAGTAATTATCATGAAGGTAGAATATGTATAATTTTGATAGGTAAATTTCATCTACCAAGAATTGCATGTGGTTATTTTCTATGAAACCCTAGTTGGTTGTTTTTAGGTAATTAGATCTCACGTAAAGCCATAGATTCCATGCAAAATTAGTATTTTTAAAAAAACCAAAAGCAGATCCTACTAAATAAATGCATCTAATAAGGCTCATAGATAGTATATTGACAAAATTAAAAAAGACATAATATACCTTTTCATCAAGTAGATATAAAGTTTGAAAGATTGTTGCTCTAGAGTTAGAAGATATCTTTTGTCTTGCTTTTTCAACAACTTTAACTTTGACTGTGAAATTCATGGAGCTAGGGTTAAGCTCATCAAGATACATGCTTTCTGTTTTCATCCTGATAAGAAAAAAAAGGATTTATGATTAGATAATATCACTTGTATCTATAATCTATAATAATATTAAAAGCTACAAATCCAGAAACTCTAAGAATTTTTTTGGTCAGAAGTGTAGTGTTCAGATTAGGATGAAAATAAATTGTCAGTTAACTAATAATTATATTAAGCATGAATATTTCAAATTTCTTTTATATTATTATATATGATCCTATTTTTATTTATGTAACTATAAGTTTGTTCTTTTTTTTTTTTTATGAATTACAAGAATCATATTTACATCTCATCAGATGTATGTATTTTATAAAGAAAGGAATTATTTAAATGTACATATATGAAATGGATCAATAAGAACAAATGAAGAATAGTTAGATTTCTTACCTTGTAATCTTCTATCAACACAATAAGGTTCTGTTTAGATTTGTTGCAGATTTTTTGAATGAGTTCTTGTTGTTTAGACCATTCTCAGCAGTGAGGAAAAAAAAAACCTCTCAATCTCTCTCTACCCACTTTCTCACTCCTCCCATACAATTTCTCTCATCAAATGTTTTTTTCACCACAGCAATGAGGAGAAAAAAAACCTCTCATCACTTTCTCCTCCACTATTTTTTAATTTATTTTTTAATTACGTTTAAAAATAATTTAATAAAAATTTATAATTACGTTTAAAAATATTAATAATACTAACTAGAAATTTTTTTTATAAGAAATAATTATAATAATAATAATAACAAGAAGAAATTGGGAAAATATGTTAATTTCTCTAATTTATGGGGTTTTTTTGAAAGTATATCAAAATGCATGTCTATTTATAGAGAAAAAAATTTTATGGTCGTTGGTGAATTTTTTTTTTTTTTAAAATAATTACAACGGTTATATTTCAAATACAAAATATAACCGTTGTAAAAAAACAACAAAAGCAGTGGGGGCCACATGTTACTGTTCATCACCAAAAGCCCTCAACTATTGAGGGTTTTTATTTTCACTCGTCGGTGAGTGTTTTTTCACTCACTGATGTAGTGTTCGGATTTTTTTTTTACACCCTTATTTTTACTCGTGAGGGCTTTTCTCCTCACTGCTGGGAGTGCTTTTATAGTAGATTTATGTTGAGTAAAAGAGTGTAACTGATAATGGACTTGATGTCTTTATATAGTGTAAAAAGTACGTTCATGAAAAAAGGAAGTCCTGGCTTTATGAATAGTAGTAAATTATTTTAAAAATTATTAACTGGTAAAGATTGAATTGAGTAGAAAATTATTAAAGTAAATTATTAAGTGGTAAAGATTAAATTAAAAAGAAGGCTCATGAAAATAAGAAAGCCGTATCTTTCTTCCACTGTTGTTTTTTTTTTTTTTTTTTTTTTTTTAGAATAATAATAAAAAAAAAAATTGATATAAAGATTGGATTAAGTACTTAATTATTAAAGTATATATATTTTTGCATACATAAGTAATTTGCTGTGAACCAATTTGTCGTTTATGTAGTTTATTTATTTTTATTTTTTATTTTTATTATTCTAATATTCATTTTTTTGTTGAAGGAAGATAATAATGGAATGGAATTTCACATTAATATGTTAGCCATTAATATTTCCATATTAGTACATGAGCCCATACTTTGTTTACTTTAGGTTTTCCTAATTTCACAAGCAAACTATAGGAAATCTCCACTACTTTTTTTTGGCTAGACATTACCTACTACATTCCCTTAACACCACATATTTTTACAGTGAGATCATTTCTAAAGTCTTAGTTTGTTTTTACTTATTTTGAGCAAGGAAAAAGGTTCAAACACAGATGTCTTGCTACAGAAGAAAAGAAAGAGAAATATTTGATCTTTTTTTTTTTTTTAAAAAGTACCTTTATTTTATTTTTTTTTAAAAAAATCTTTTATAAAAAAAAAACAATACCTTTATCTTGTACTATAGTAACTATAGAAGATTGACAGTAAGAAATTTTATTTATCTTGTACTTTTTGTTTATAATTTTATACTTCAATTTTTTGTTTTAGAATTAAACAATATCCGTGTTTCTTTTTTAAAATATTAAAATCAAAGTAAGTGGGAGCTGTTTTTCAATTTATTAATTTTTTAAAAAGGTACATAGTAAATATTTTTGGGTTACTAAAAAATATAAAATAAATTAAAATTCCTTTTTTTTTAACCAAAAACATTGTAGTAATGTATGTCAATATAAAGAATTTGTTAGGGCATAACAATGACAGAAATTTAAAAGGGAATAAAATTACGATGTACATATAGATAAGAATTAATCACTGAATTAAATAGTTACAAACCCTATTCTACATGTAAACCTTCAATTTGAAAATTGAACATATAAAAAAAGAAGTGAAAATCACTTATTGTTTTCTATAGCATGAAACTAATTATTTATAATACATGTAAAAGAATAATTTTAATTACACTTATTATAAAATTAATAAATGTAGATGGAGATAGTGCGTACCTATTAAATTGAGACTTTACCCATGTTGCTCTATTTTTTATGTACTGAATTGGAAAACCTGTAGAAAAAAATCCATAAACCTTTTAATCAGTTCAACTTAAATTATAGATTTCGTTTATTTGAGTTTTGAATGCTAAATTTTAATCTGGAAAAAAAAATTATAAAGGATTTAAGAAGATATACACAAAATTTAAGGCAATGATGTTTACCTTGCTGTGATTATCAAAAACATATGCAATAATACGATATCTATTGTAATTTGTTTTTATTAATATTGTTTACTTATATAACAAAGTTCAACAAGTAACATCGTACCAATAACATTAAACAATACCTTCAATGTTAGGTGCTAAATTATATGTGAATACTTTAGAATATCATAAGATACTACATTTTTAACTGAGTTCAGATGATAACCTTCAGGTGGTTTGGTGGTATATAGCACAACATTTTCAGCTCTTTTAGCACGAGATAGTGCCACATACAACTGACCATGTGAAAAAACACGGCCGAGGAAGATATATTGATACTTGATTCAATGTCTGCCCTTGTGACTTATTAATTGTCATGGCAAAACATAGCTTAATTGGAAATTGTTTCCTTTCAAAAGCAAAGGGATAGCTGCTATTTGCGGGAGGTCGTAGATTTGCTCGATGTACAAAAACAGGTGTACCCTTGTATTGTCCAACAGAGATCTCACAGACAATAACGTTGGGTAGAAAGGTCTTACAAACTAATCTTGTACCATTACAGAGTCCTTCAGAAGGCATTATGTTGCGTAACAAAGTTACTGGACAATCCTTCTTAAGGACGAGCTGATGGGGACTCATTCCTCCTGGACAAAGTTTATTTATAAACTTTGTCGGATAAATGTTGCATGTATCATTGAGCATTACATCAAAACTTTTGTAAGTTACTGATTCTCCTGGAAATCGATCTATTAAGACTAAATTCACTAAATCAACATCGTCATTCATGGGTGTTAAGATTTCCCTATCTGCAACGATATCTGATGTTATTGTTCCCTTCTCAAGTTCTGGAAATGTTGCATTTATAATCTTCAAAATGGGATCTTCTTCCACGAGCAAGTGTTGAATCATTCCATCAGGTAGTCTGACGTAATCGCTCTCACTTTTTTGTAATTCACCATTGCCAAGAGATAACAAGAATGAGCAAAATGCAAGGTCTTCACGAGCTCTTTAATTTTATGTTAGTTTAAATCTTGTCAAAGCTGTCCAGATATATGAAGTCACTATGCTTTCTTAACAGCCTGTCTTTGTGACTTATGAGGTACAACTGGTAGATATTGTCTAAAATCTCCGCCGAGAATAACGAGCTTGCCACCAAAAAGCGTTGATATTTTCACATAAATCCTAGAGCAGCAAATCAAGGGCTTGTAAATTTGCCTTGTTGGCCTTAGAAGCTTCATCCCAGATAATTAGAGTTGTCTCTAGATCTTTTATTAAATGTGCTAAACTACCTTGTTTTGGCACATCACATTTCAAAGAGTTCTCATGGTCAACTGGTATGTTGAATCTTGAATGAGCTGTTCTCCCTGAAGGAAGATTTGATGATGCTATTCCAGATGTTGCAGTTGAGAGTACAATTTTATTCATCATATGAACTTCTGCATATAAGTAATTGTATAAAAAAGTCTTCCCTGCCACCAGGTCCATCAATGAAAAAAACACCTCCTTTTCCTTCATGTATATGTTTCATTATAGACTCAAACGCTTGAAATTGTGCTGTATTCAAACGTTCCTTTGTATTTATGAATTCCTGAGGAATAGCTGCATCTAGAGTGTCTGCTATATCTCTTGTTTTCTGAATTCATCAGCAACGATATAGCTTAGATGATTTAGGCCAAAACTTTTGAGTGATTTACCCATTGATTCGAGATGTTGCTCTAGCAAACTAACAGTTAGCTGCTTGATTTTATCAGTATCACCCTTAAATTTATGGCTGAAATCTTCTGACAATGCTGTGTAATACTTTTCCCATAAAGCAGATGGATCACTTGGTTGACAGAAAATCAAAACTGTTGCAAAAAGTCGTCTCAAAGCATCAGGTAATTGTACTTCTAAAGCTTCGGCTAAGCATATAGATGCAGCATCATCATCTTCTAAAAGACCAAGTCGTTGGACAGTTTCTTAGAATGTAGCACATACATAATTATCAACTGTGCGTAGGTCTAATAAAGACCTAGCATTTCTGATGTTTAGCAGTAAAAGTCGGAGGAAAAAACGTTCACCTTCAGCAGGTAGGACAAATCCCATCCGCCCAACAACAATGAGCTTTTTTTTTCTTTGAACCCACTCCTTTGTACGTGCATCTCATCTGTAGTGCTTTGGGAATTCACCATATAAAATTCCGGTGCCACCATAATTTTTGTATTCATTGTAAATATTCTTTTAATGGAGTCCATGAACGCTTTGGATCTCTCACTACCTAGTTAAGATTTTCATGTGGTCTTACAACAATGGATTGCATATTCGGTAGGTGTATAGGCAACGACATGACAGGAGGATAGATTTCATACATATCGAACCCAAAGATTCGCCATGCTGCTTCACATGGGGATACCCACCTGCTAAATTTAAATTGTTCAATTTCAGTGATATATTTGAAATTATAAAGAAAGAACAAAATAATGCAAATTGAATAGTCAATACCCACCTACCAGATTGAAATTGTTCAATTTCATCGACTTTAATATCAGTTGTGGCAGATATCTTGTATGAGATTCAATCATGCCCTTTGTAAACGTACTTGTACAGATACTTCACTACTTTGATAGTTGAGCATACCTCAACATTTAGGTGATAGTCAAACATGAGTAGTAAATACGGATTGTACGGTACCTCCCATCGTTATCTAGCTCAGCATGTCTAATTTTCACTTTTTCACCTGTTTGTCTTCTCCTATATATAGGATATCCATCTTTGTTGTTTGATGTCTCTGCCATGTAGTCTTTTGGATACCCATTTTTATATGCTAACTTTTTCCCATCCATTTGCATGCAAAGGCATCTTGGATTTAGCTTGCCACACGGTCCATGCATCATATAAGTCAATAAAACTTTACGAAGCAGAGGATTATAAAGTGATGGTATTTCAGCTGAAACAAATTTATCATAGTCTGTTTGCCCTCTTTTCTTGAAGTCAGATTTCAGTATAATTAAGAAATGTGCCTATGACAATACTCTTTTTTAAACTCAACAACGTAAATCATTGCTACCACTTCTCTGAAGACTTTTTTCTTCATAATCTGCTTCTTCAGCGCCAATATTTTAGCACGGAATATCCGAACTACTATCTGGTCTATCTTGCGCTTTTTCTCCAGGTTGTAGTTCAGCCTTTATTTCTGGCCAATTTGCATTGCATGCCATGGTAATAAAAAGACCCGGCTTGCCATACCTTTGAACTAATGCCATAACATTTAAATGTCGGCCTCTAAGATCTCTAGGATAGCCGATGAATGATGAAGGCAAAATAACAAGTAGATGTCCAATCTTTGAAGCATTTGTTTCTCCACTCGTTACACTATCAAGAATACTTTGATAAAGATCAGCTCTTATTGTATCTTGATTGTTTCTTAGGTAATCAAGCCTTGTGTTTTCTATCTAGACATACATGTCGACAACAAATTGTTGGAAGCATCTACCAGCTCTTAGGAGCATATTGTGCGGCCAAATTTGTAATTTGTAAGTATAGTATTCTCGCGGAGAGACATATTTGTCGGCTTTTGTTCTGTGTTGAACAACACCTATTTTCCAAAAGAAAAAAGTAATTGATTAAAATGCACAACACACTAAATGTTTTTAATCTTTTAGGATCTGGAACCTGATGTGTTTAATGGTTCCCAACAACAATTTTTTTCTTAAGATTTTGGGTCCAACCACATTCACCATGGGGGAATAACAGTAGATATTGTAGTGGGTCATAACACCTGTAATAATGATAAATTCGATGAGTTTGAGCAGACTTTCCATACACAAGAATATGCGGAGTGCTGATCTGGTTAGAAGACACATTACCTGGCCATACCACAGCAACTTCATCTGACAATGGTGCATTGTAAACATGCTGATCCAAAACTATCGTTTGATTTCAGACAATTTGCGTGTTTTCATCTATCTCTATTTTCCTCAACGATCTGAAAAATCTTGCATAAGGATTTCTCTCAGTAACCTTCATCGGTATACGAATAATATCTTCTCGTACTTCTGGAAAACATTTAACTCAATTTTGAACTTCGTGCTGCCCGTCATAAAAATAGAGCTGTAGGTACTTAGGACTACTATCATTAGGGAGTAGATCTGGAACACAGTGATATATTTGCCCAAGCATTTTGAATACATATATTCCTTTATATGTTGTTGAGTCAGTTTTGCCGCGTATAGAACTAAAAGCAAAAAGGTTGTTATACATCCGGCTATATTGTTTGAAATGCTTAGAATCTTCTTCTTGTGATGTAAATAAGCGGCATAACTCATCAGGGAATTCATTAGTTGCAATCAATCAAAACCTCTCCATTGCAACAACAAAAGTGTAAAGTTTCATACTTGAACTTCTTTGCATTACAATGCAAACAATAATGCGCATTCCTGAGCATGAGAGGACCTTCTGGTAGAGATTGCCTAATGGTAGCAAGAGGTACAACTGTCAATTACAAAAAGCAAATAAAATTTCATTTAATAATATGTGCATATAATAAGCATCATCTATCATGTAAAAACGTTAAGTTAACTGCTTAAAAGAATCATAATCTATGATTATAATACCTACCTTCTTTACGGGGTTTTTTTTTATGACATTCTCGATTAACCCTACACGAGAAATGATACTGAATTAAAGTAAACCAACTCTATTTTGAAGGTGTTACACAATCTCAGTAATTCAGTAAATACCTTGGTATATTAGCGGTTGAGGACAACCTTCAAAAAAACTTTTACGTTTGGTTGAACGTCGATGACGTGTATGTGAAGAACTTCCCACTTTATCTGATAATTCATAACAATTTAATATTAATAACAATATACTGATGCCATAAACGTGAAATATGATTTTAAATATGTAGTACACAAATCTTTCTTTTATTGAAATTGGAGTACACTTGACACTTGCAAATGTTTAAGTGAGCATTTATGTTAGGCTACTTGTTCTCTTAGGGTTTTGATATTATTTTAAAGAGGTAAATATACTTAGGAGTTTGTGAAAATTAGATTTCATACAGATTAATTGAATTGATATTATAAGTTTTTCATTGCAATGGTTCTGGTTTTTTTTGGTGCTTATAACTTGTAATTATAATTTGAATTATATACATTACAACTTTTTTAAAAGGAAACTTTAATAATAAGTTGCATTGCTGCCATTGTCTACAATTTTGAATAAGGGTGGTTTAATCATAAAATGAGGTATGCTCTGACACTTATTTCCACTTGAATGCTTTAATCAGAAACTGATTTATAAGCATGCCATTTTCACAAGTGTATTATCATACTTACTATAAAAGATTGTATGCTACAAGAAAAAGTAATGATTGTATGTTTTTAGAGTCTATAAAAGGAAAGAAGGAAGCATTGATCATAGTATTTCAATTACCTCTATACTACCAGTTTAAAATAAATTAAGCTTCTTCTTTCTGGTTTAGTAAAATATGTAGTTAGTGAGAAAATAAGTTCAAAACAACAACACAAATCCAGACGCTTGTAGAACAACCAACACAATTTAGGCAATTGGAATCCTTTTAATTTAAATTAAAATGAATAATGAACAGAGACTCTAACACAATCGAAATTAGTAAACAATCAAAATAGCTCAATGATCGAAGTAGTTGAACACAAAGTAAGAACTACCACCAAAAATATCGAAATTCAGAAATCAAATTATAAGCTTAAACTGAAGAAATTCAATATAATTCCAAATTGCAGAAGAGATTTTTTCAGGGAAAAAAAATTGAACAAATGTACACTCTTTATAAAATCACCTCATCCAAACAATTTCATCTACAACCAACTTACCAAACGAAGCTCGGAAAAAGCTTCAATGGAGAACAAACAAACAAAAAGGAAAGAGAAAAGAAGAAGGAAAAACGAAAAGGAAAGAGGAAGCAAGTATGAAGAAGGAAAAAGGACAAAGATGAGTTGGAAAGCAATAAAAGTCAGAATGTAATGGTAAGACCATGAATATTAAGGGAAGGGTATCTTCGGCGGCACACTGTCCTACTGTTCATAAGGAATAGTTCCTTATATCTTCTCACTTTTTAAAGAGTGTAGATGTAGATATATGTACTCAAATAACTAGGTAACTCATTAACCCAAAGTTTTGCTATATTCCCTTGAGAAGATTAGTTATCATTTACATTTATGTTCCCTTTAAAATGCAATTGGTATTATGATAGTATATTTTTTCATCATATATATTTTATTGGAATCACCGTATTTTGTCTTCAAACTTCTATAATGGAGTTAGTGATAATGCTGTGTTGATATAATGTTCTAAGTGTCATGTATGTGGGTAAATAGGAGTAGCTATAGCCCATTACCAGGTATGGGCTCAGTTGTCCATACCACAATATAAAATTATTTTTCTTTTCCTTTTCTCTTCATCTTCTTCCTCCCTTAAACCCTATCCCTACCTCCATGGATAGCTCCCATTTCCCGCCAAACTCTGCCCACCACACCTCCACCTTCGATAGCAAGTAACCCATCCCACCAGCCACCACCTTGGTCAAAACCCAAAAACACGCAACCACCTCCGTTAGAAACCACCCAAAAAACATAACCCCAAAACAGAAGAGTGAGCTATGCTATGGAGTACTTCCGGCTGATTTTCATGGTCTTCGAACATAGACAAGTTCTGTGTCGGAGATACAAACTTATGGCTCTAGCCATTAAAAACGGTGAGGAGATAGACTACTTTTGTATACTGTTATTATAGTGTTGATTATTGTTATTAAGAGGAGATAGACTACTTTTTTATAGCATGGTAAGTAATACGAAAAATTATATTTTTGCCCCTGGTATGGCCCCAACGAGCCCATACCTGGTAGTGGTCTATCACTACTCGGGTGAATAGGTGAATGAGAAATTTGTATCTCAGATATTGCCACGATGCCAAGGGACTTAAAAAAAAAAGCTAAAGCTTAATTCATCTACATAAGCATAATACATGAAAAGTATAATACAACAATATATAATGTACGGCCCGGGGCCTTGCTCGGGCTAAACACGTACTAGTATACTAGATTAAGTCCTGTAAAACGCATGGTTATTACAATATTTTACAAAGTATATTGTTACAAATTGCAATATATACTATTCAACAATAATGGTTCGTTAGGGGTGTCAATTTGGGTAAACAGTTCGGTTTTGGGTTGGGCTTATTAATTTTGGGTTATAAAAGGTCGGTTTATAACGGGTTGAAATGATTAGCGGGTCGATTTTGAAAATCATCGGGTCAGTTCGGTTTGGTTATTGGGGTTTCTAATCGGGTCGGGTCCTGATCAAGTCGAGTTGTAGTTGGTTCGGGTCATAATCAGTTTCGATTGAAGCAGGTCAGTTTAAAAACGGGTTTAGCCAGTTTAAAGTGGATTTCGGTTTAAAACAGTTCGGGTTCTAATCGGGTCGGGTTGTAATCGATTCGGGTCATAATCAAGTTGGGTTAAACCGGGTCGGTTTGAAAATAGGTTTCGATTCAAAACATATCGGGAGAAATTGGGGGTCCAATCACTATCGGTTCAGGTCATAATTGGTTTGGATTGAACTTGGTCGGTTTGAAAATGGGTTTACCCAATTTGAAGCGGGTTTCAGTCCAAATCATATTGGGTTAAAATCGAGTCGGATCATTATCGAGTCGAGTTAGTCAGATAATGGGTAGGAACGGGTCATGTTATAACAAGTTAAGTCATAAATAAGTTGGGTTTATCGAGTAGTGGGTTAAACCGGATCAGATCATAAACATATTGGGTTACGGGTTGTAAACAACTCAGTCATAACGGGTTACCGGT